CATACATTGTTGTTTGGTCAAAATTGAATAAATATACGTATTACATTTTCTCAAGGAGAATTTTCAAAAATAGCATACTTTAAAAAATTATAAAAACTTTACAATTATTTGTTGCGATAACAAAATGAACATTCAGTAGCAAGTCACAACAACAATGAAACGAAGAACATATACCGCCATATAACTATTCGTGCTAGTCGCATATCGCAATTGTTGCCGACTACCAAACGAACAAAACCATGCTAAAAATCTAATGAAATTCTTGCTTAGTGGCTAGTGTTTAGCTAATTTGTTAAGAGATTATTGGTTTAATATTCGAACTTGTCTTTGGTCATATGATTAATATTATTTACCTTACGCATGAGATAGGTGAAATTACTAAGCTCTACTCCACAAAATTAGTAAAGCCACAAATGTAATTCCAAAGAACTTCTCAACGTCTGACCTGCTGCATTATACAATTCACCTCGTATGGCAATGACATACTCATGAGTATCATAACTTGTCGACCAGTTCGCACATAAAAAAGGGTGGTAATTGAAAAAAACTTGAATGTTTCGTAAAGGTCTAGAAACTGATCCAACCTAGAACGAATGTAATACTAAAAGGGAAATGAAATTTCATTCTAAAAGCTCTCCTAACCTCTAAAGTCAAAGATTCCGTGAGAGAGCCATGGTACTAATAAGCCCCATAGAAGGAAGCGAACCTTTAACAATGTGGATACTATTTTTTACTCTGTACTCACTGTTTAGCATTATTTAATACCGGTAATAAGAAAAAAATTATCGGCTGTTAAACTTGTGATGAGTAATGATGTAATTTAACATGTTGGAGAAGACCTTTAAAATGTGGGTGGAAATGGCATATGGGAACAAGCAGAAGTAAAGACAAAGATAAAAACAAAAAGTTCGGCTTCAAACAAGAAAGCAACGCAACAGGTTCCTTACAAGTTACATCCATTAAGAGGCTGATGCGTATGGGTCTTTTCTATGTGTCACATCTCTATTGGTGTAGAGAATTCCTCATAGTATCTTTGTTTTTTGGTTTACTTCCTTTATTACTATATTTTTTATTCCCCCTTTTTGGGACCCCAAAATATGATAGAGAAGGATACAAAACTCTTTGATTGCAACTTGGGTCATGGACCTTAACTTACATTCTTCTGCTTATGTTTAGCCATTTAATCTTTAGCTACAACAGAATACATTCTAACTAACCATGTGTATCTTTTTACACCACACATTGTCGCTCTATACGTTTCTGGCTCTTTTCTGATGCCGGTTTGAGCTTGATTTGGTACAGCTTCGGCCATAGCTTCCCCGTTACTGCAGAAAAAAAGAATGATTGAGGTTATGGTTTCGAGGTCAAGTGATCAACCTCAAGGGACCGAACGAGATTTATTACCAAAGAGGCGCTGCTTCTCGCTGTCCCATGCTATGCCGTTCAAGACATCGATACCCTATTAATGCAGACAAGATTAAGCTAAGGGAAACAAATTTCAAGGATGACTTATTAAGAGACAAAACTTATGAACTTAAGGTTTTAACTCACCATGTGTCCAGATTTCAGCAATCCTTGTCTGCAAAGGGATATCAGGAAAAGAAGAAGATCAAATGTATACCACAGTGATATCAGAAGCTGTTACCAAAGGGACATGGTAGAAGAAACAATAATAACCTTAATTTGGGAAGCAATATCCATCCAAGCAGTGATCCGTCCTTTGGTGAAATTCTAGCAATACAATCGGACTGCAATAAGAAGTTACACATCAGCCTAAATGATAAACCCCAGAAGTCTTCTCATCACGACATCACCAAATACGAACAATAGTGTGTGAGAAATTCATTTATGTCATAAACTTTGAGAAAAACAGCGACAGCTTATTTCTAATATCTCAACTCAAAGTGAGAGAATAAATGAAGCTTAATGCACCAAGTTTGGTTTCACATATTGAGATTTTACAGGCATCGTATCACAATTTGCCTAAGAAAAGGTTCTATTAATTTGGGTAACATTAATTCTTAGAGAAATTACAATACACAGATGTAAATATCAGTAACAGTTGGAATACCTGCCACACGTTTGCCCAGACTTCTTTGTTTATATACTCGAGTTCATTAAGGTAACGTACCTCACGGCCATTATATCTGACCGTATGCTTATCAGTAACTGCAGAGAAGAGACAACATAAATTGCCAAATCTACTCTCTCGAGCTTAAATGACCCAAGGGCACAATAACAAAGAGCAAAACTTAATGCAGTATAAGTGAGATACCTTTCATTGTTTGAGGGTCCATCCGATATAGTGTAGAAGTGCCATCGCTCCCAAACAACACTTTTCCATCGGTAGCCAGTCCCCATCCATCTTTCATATAATGTTTAAATGGTTTTACCTACAGTAAGATCAAACGTTAAATATAATAGAGTATTGCAATACTAGTCCATTATAAAGTGATAATGCAATGGATACAGAGTGACCAACTAGAACACTAAAACTAATAAACTCGGTGAGTAGAAATGTATCCATTTCTCCAACCTAAGACAAAGATCTGTGCTCTAATTTCAAGAAAAACAATAAGCTGAATTTTAGCCTGCTTAATTGTAGCAAGAAGCTGACTTCGAAGACTTGCTTCACTGAGCTCATTAATTAATAGCAGAGAAACCAACAAAAAAGAGTATGAGAAGGATAAGACCAGTACAAACTTTGGTTAAGTTGTGAAGGTCATATGTGAAACCAGTGTTCGTCAACCATGCGACTTGAAAGAGCCTACAACAGATAAAGAATCGGTGGATCAGAGCACTAGTATTAACTGATGAATGATTTTCAGGTTGGCAATGTATCCATGTAAGATAACAAGATTCCAGAACAAGCAAAAATAAAGTCTTTCTGTACTACAAACTAGTTTTCAGAAAGATAAGCCCCACCTTTCTCCAAGGAGTGTTAAACCCTCTCCAAAGTATGAATCATCCATTTGTTGAATAACTTCAACCTACACAAGGTACGAACAGAATTAAGCTGCTTCACAGATGTATGATAAAATTCAAATCCACCAATTCCAGAGAGGCTTATATGCATGATGAACTCTGTAATGTTGGCCACAAGGCTGATCAAGAAATCAATTAACAAACTCACAGGAAACAAAAGTTCAACATCGTACGGTTAGGTCAGTTAGCACTCTATTAATGCGTTCTCTTTTGCAATTACGCAGAACCTCTTGAGAATTCACTAACATGTTTGCACCTAATACACAAATGTTTCCAAGAAACTGTACCTTCCCTGTTCGTAGAGCCACTTTCCTCACTGAAGACTGTAAGAAACAAAAGCAAAACAAAATGAATCATACTCAAAATGACTTTGAAAGATGCAAAAGAGAAATGATGGTCGAATGAATCACCTTCGCGTTTAAACCAGTCGACTCGAACAGTGTATCGTTTCCAGCATAAAGAAGTCCCTGCGATCGGTAAACAAAGGATTCAAACATTGAGTCATGATCAAGTTCTTGACTATACTGAAGAATCCAGAGTAGTAGAGTATAAACCTGAGTGAAAGCGTCAGGGTCATGAGGAAACTCAGCAACTACTTCAATTTCATGGATCTTAAGGGAGAGATTCATCAAATCAGATGATTTGCCCCAACTGTAGAAAGGCATAAAGAATAGAAAAACGGCACCGGAGAAGAGAGCAAGAGGAATCATCATCGAGATCCTCCTCCGATTAACGAATCGGCG